CTAATGATGAAAAACGCATTTATTTTATTCAACAAATTAATCTTTTTAATCTTCCTTTGTCCATTCACTTAATCCAGTTATGAATGTTAGCCAAAGTGAACAGAGCAAAGTGAAAATTTAAGATAGACTAGCAACTGCCTACGGATTACTGATGTAATCTATAAAAGTGTAAATAAAATATTTCTTCAATGGAGGTAGGAAGATTATTTTGGGTTCTGTGTTCTGTGTATATTTGAAATCCTAGCTTTGAGCACCAACTTCTAGCACTAGGTAAAACACACATTTTTATTTAGGAAGCAAACCAATTAGGTATTGACTGCTGATGTTGCAAGTCAACTCCGCTCGCTCGTTCTTTTGAACACCATACAAAAATGATCGTTAAACAAAAGATTTGGTATGATGTGGGATTCAATTGCTAAAGTGACAATGAGAATGACAATGAAATGGTACTCGCACAGGTTTATTTTATACCAGTGTTCACCTTATAGAAAGTTAAAGGGCCAATCAAGGTAGAAAGTTGCTGAAGGAGGCTGTTGTGTGTACGGGGCAGTTTATGCTGACAACCTAGACTTGAACAGGTTAGCGGCCAGAAAAGCAACCCCATAGCTAGGGTAGCTAGAGGCTTATAACATTTCGTCTATGGGGAAGCGGTTGTAAAGTGGAAATAAGAAATCACCCACAAGGCCATGTAGACGCTTTTGAATTCCATGAAAATTAGAAAGTGAAGGCTGAGTTAGCTCCAGCCCAGATATGGCATCAATACTATATTGTTGGCTCTTGCAAACGTAGAGCATAGAAGGAGTCCAGTATTTACTGGGGCGGTACAGGGAACAGACCATTTTGACAGCATTTTTAACGATGGATTGTATATACGAGTTTCACTTACGGTCTGAAGTAGGCGTTCATGGCAAGGGACATCCTTGAGAAAACACTCGTCTATTGCATTCAGGTGATGATGGAATGTTACAAGTTTGGTTCTTAAGTTATTGAATGTAACCAGTCTCCCATCCTCACTGAGTTTGTTAAAGCTAGGTCTAAGGAGAAATCAGCAGTCAGTCTCTGGTCATCTAGATTTTTAAAGGTGTACTCATATACCGTTGTATCATCTGCATATATATTCACAAGAGATCAGCGTATACTCATAGGCAGATTATTAATATACAGCTGGAAGAGGGCTGTGTCAAGAATCGAAGCTAAGGAGACAAGCCTGCAGTGATCTCATGGTCCTCGGGGGACTGGCAATTAACAAGTACCTTCAGAGACCAGATAACAAGGAGTTCATAATTCAGAAACCGTTCCAGTGATACCATAATCGGAGAGCTTGTGTAGCAGCCCCCATATATCAAACCTTGTCAAAGACCTTCGATATATCTAATGCGATCCTCGTCATGGGTATTGTCTAATGCCTCGCTGATTCTGTGAGTAATGCCAGAATATCATAAGTGGACTGAGCAGATCGAAATCCGTATTGTTTATCACTCAAGAGGATGAACCTGCTGAGATGCTCGACACCTTGTTGTTAATTATAACCTCACCGTGTTTGCTAATGACACTAAGGAAGTTGAAGTTCCGATATTGAGAAAAGATTGAGCACTTCCCTCCGTTCTTGTAAACTGGGCATACACTTGACACCTTCCATAGCCCTGGGAAGGAATTCTCCTTTAGGCAGTGGTTGAATAATTTTGCTAAGATTGGAAATAACACAAAGCTAGTATTCTTAAGGACAAGCACTGAGATTTTATCTGGATCTTCTTATGGCCAAGGCTATTGATATGTTTTGAGATTCTCCGAGCTGTGATAGAAATATGACTAAGTTTGTATCCCGTGAGAAAGGTGGGGTGAAATGGTACAAATTCCGTAAATATATTAATTTATAAAATCATGTCTGTTAGACCGATTTTTCGACATCAAAATGGAGTCTGATATATATGTCTGTAAATACACAATTAATAAAAATATATAGTGAACTTTGTTCTAAGTAACTACACTTTTTTGACTTGTTTGCTTAGTTTTAATTCAATAAGTTTTATAATTCGTTGTTAGGGTTAAAATTCAAAGGTCATTAAAACATTAAATAGTAACGAAGTGACATTGCCATTTAAAAAACAAAACAAAACAAAAACATTGACTTTCAAAAGCCTAGAATGTTTTTGTTATTGCTTTCCCCTCTTTCAGCTCAATATGATTGTGGGTAACGGACATACAACATTTTGTACCAACGCACAAAACTGATAATTATCAATCAAAACAAATAAATCGACACCATTAGCATTATTATCATCAACAATTGGCCGTTCATGACGTCAGCAGACAGAACACAGCATGATGGCGACACTTGTTTCGTCTCAATTAATTTTGTCGATTACACAAATGCGCCGCGCCAGTTCGTCCCAGACACCATTTGTATGATTTCGGTGACTGTGCTTGGTAATTACACGCACATACGAAAATAAATTTAAAAAAAAATAAAAATTAAAATTAAAAAAATACATTTTGATTTTATTCTTATCTCTTAATTTCATGTTTGCATCTATGAGAATATTTGTTTGGCGAATACGTCTCTTTTCGCGTATTGGTCTCAGATTAACTGTTATGATAAAATATATTGATTTATCTGAAAGCCCGGTTCAGAAGAATTTGGTTAAAATATTCACCAAGATAAATTTGGCATTTTCGCTCTGAACATATTTTTTTGTTCACATCCCATTTTGTATTCGTCATTTCACACTGATTAATCTGACCTGTTGCTCACACTACTGTATTAGTGAATAATGTTTTTCTTTGAATTTGTGTGTGTGTGTGCGTGTGTGTGTGTGCGTGTGTGCGTGCGTGTGTGTGTGTGTGCGTGTGTGTGGAGAGAGTAAAAGAGATTGATCAAGTTTCATCTCCTCTGGCCCAAGGGCATTGGTGTGGAGTATAATACGAGGATCAAAGTCATGAACGGTATACACGCTAGTACATGATACAGAGAAAGAAAGAGAGGAAAGGAGTGCAATGTGTCTATGCACGCGCCTACACACACACACACACACATATATATATATATATATATATATATATATATATATATATAGGATGTCCAACCTGTGTACAAATTTAAATCATTCGCCAGTATTTTTACTGTTACATTTTGTTTAGAATTAAGAAGAGATGCTCAATTAAGATGAGGTGATAAACTTCCTATATTTCATGTTTAACTAATGAAAATGTTGCAAATGTCAACTAATTTATGACGGTAGAGTCTGGATCGATACGAAACTAATCTGAGAAATGTTTCTCCTGTAATTATGGCGATACGATTTCTATTTAAGTTAATGTAAGATTTACAATAAATCTTAATTAAAGATAAAAAAAAATATTAGCCATATACAATATTAAAGATAGTTAAACAAATTACTAAGAATACTGGGCATACTCAGGATAAAAATCAAAACCCTTAAAATTTATAAATCATTTTTAATTATCGATATTACTTTATATATATATATATATATATATATATATATATATATATATAAAATAAATAAATAAATAAAAGACATTGTTATGTTTATACATTCTTTTTATTTTCTTGCATGAAAAGGAAAAATGGAATGGAGTTTCCGTATCACTGGCTGAGGACTTCAGTGTAGACCACATTTTTAGCTTTTTCTGAGGGTGAATAAAGGAACACATCATCGCGCCTGCCGACTCGAGAGCAAGCTACATAAAGTTGGCCGTGTGAGAAGCACTGCTCATCTAAGTGTACACCAGTGACGGACAGCGTTTGTCCTTGTCATAGCAAAACAGGGTGCGACTGAGAATTGGGATCTTTTGAAAGTGAAGGGTATGTCGGCATCTGATGGATACAAATGCATCCTTGGGATAAGCACTTGCTCTCCTTTACCGCAGCCAGTTATAATTTTGGCCTCAATAATGTCTGGGTGTAGGGCCTGAATAACCATCCTGGTTCCATTACAGAGTTTCTAAGCAACATAACCTGGATCCCCACTTTAAGTTTCAGAATGTGAGGAGGGAGACCAGCGGGGTGGAAGCTGTTTAAGAACTCCACTGGAAAGTTCGCCATTTCAGCGGAGTCTGGAGTTCTGTCAATGGATTTGTAAACGTGCAACACCCCTGGCACAGTTTTCAGAAGCTGTCAATTAAGGGTTGTCACAGTGGTGTTTTGGGGGGCAAGAATGGCCCGCCCAGCAAACCACTCAATATTGTTGTAGTTGGATTGAAGATCAGGAAAAACTGATTCCCTGAGTTTTGCTGGCGTTGTGACCACTGTAGACAACCCTTAGACGTTTACAAATCCATTAGTGTCCGCTGGAATAATGCCTTCGCCAAGGGCTAATAATGAATTCGAAAATTCGGCGGTTAGGTGTGCACGCATGTTGGTGATATGGTGCAATGGCCTAACAGTGGGCCAAAGTTGTGACGATTTCAAGCACGCTCGAATAGCGTCGGCCCTTGTCCCCTTAGGTACAACGGGGAGGATGTGGCGAAATTCACCGGATAGAAGGACTGTTATATCTCCCATAAGGTCATCAGAGTTTCGAATATCCTTCAGAGAGCGGTTTACAGCCTCGAGTGCAGTTTTGGGACTGACAGTGCACTCATCCCAGACGATGAGCTTACATCGCCTGAGTACCTCCGCTAGACCTGATTGCTTGGCTATACTGCATACAGCTGTTTCTGCCTTAATCAGGCCAAGCGGAAGTTTAAACGTTGACTGCACTGTTCGGCCACCCGGTAGTAATGTGGCAGCAATGCCTGAAGACGCTACTGCTAGCGCCACTTCGCCATGGCGCCGAATTTCTGCAAGAAGCAGTTTTGTTACGAACGTTTTTCCCGTTACCCCAGGCGCGTCCAGGAAGAAAATTGATCCTGTATCCTGCCTGGTGGATGCAAGAACCGCATCGTAAGCGGCCCTTTGGTCTATGAGAAGTTTTGGCTCATTTGTTGTGACATAGGCGTTGAGCTCCTCAACAGATTAGGATGTCTCCCGCACAATCTCAGGTGAGAGACTGGAGGATGCCACACGATCTGGCGTTGGAAGCCCAATAGCGGCAAGAGATCCCCCCCCCATTTCAACAAACAGGTTCTCAATAATTATAAGCGCCCTGTTGTAAATTTCATCGTTGAATGTAGGAACCATTGTTGGACGCAGCAGTTGCGCTTCTCTGAGTATGTCTTCGGACAAAAAGTCCTTGTATTTATCCCAAAGTGGTTTGGGATCACTGGGTTCGCACATTTGTAAGATTGTGGTGAAGAGGTGGCGCAAAGCAGAGGGCATTTTTAAAAGAGCTCCCTCAGCCATTGTGGTATCCCACTGGCTGTCGTCTTCCAAAAGGCCGGGACGGAGGCAGGCCTCACGAAAAGTGTCACATAAAACACCATTAACCGTCCATAAGTTATTGTAGCTCGTTGGACCACTAACTTCGTGCAAAAGGAGTCGCAAGTAAAAACATTCCTGTCGCGAAGCGGGGGAACTGTGAATACCCTTCCGAGTGTGGCGTCTTTTTTTACGCCTGGATAGCCCTCGACGTTGGCCCCGCACTTCCGCCGAGCCCAGGTGTTCTTTTTTGTCAACACATAGTATGAAGGCACGTCTGGGTACACTAGAGTCCTAGCAAACTCGTCCTGTCGACAAAGTTTGAAGAACGCTGAAAGCGTTGTGTCTTTGGTACGCGCAGCCACATCCATTGCTGTACCCGCAGAAAAATAACGAAGTTCGTCGTTTTCTAGGTGCACAGCAAGCTGGACGATTGCTGGGAACCGTTCGTGAATGGGGAAGCTGAATATGTGCCAAGGGCCCTCTGTGCTGTTAATGATGCGCCCTGCAAGGAAGTCCTGGATTTCGTCTACGGAACCTTCCTGCCTAATACCAAACATTGCAGCATCATTCCCATTGTTGATATACTTGATGGAGCGAACTGAATGGCAATATTCGACATTGATGTGCGCATTGAACGCAGGGGACAGTATGGCACTACCCATCTGTTATCCACTTGGTGGCTCTTTACCACGGCTGTAAATCCTTCCTCAGCGGGACTCCTTCGCCGTTACAGTGGATAACCATCGCTCCCTGTAATGATTTCGCTCACGAAATCTCGTGGGTACTGCCGGGTGCATTTGCCGTCGCTGTTGTGACAGCTGGTGTAATTGTAATGCGACCCGCAGGGACCATGAATCATGTTGGTTGTCACTATTTCGTACAATTCAGGGTCAGCGGACGGATCAGGAATTTCAGCAGAAATAGGATGATCGATTTCTGTGGCCTCAATCTTGTCGCACAGCCAAATGCACAGTGCATAAGGCAGGCCACGTTTCTGCCACACGATAGTGTGCATGCGACAGCAAACAGCCCCCAAAACCTGACCCTTTGTAATCACATCCATTAGCTTTCCCAACTTCAGATGGTAAACGCGCGCAATGAGCTCTGGACGGTCGTAGGCCGATTGCCCTGGCATGAGTTCTTTAACAATTGCGTACCATTTTGGGTTACACGTGAAAGTTATGAATAGGTCTGGTCGGCCGTACTTACGAACGTATGTCATCGCGTCTTGCGTCCTCGCGTGCATGTATCGTGGACTGCCTGTGAACGTTGCAGGTAGTATGCACATTTTGCCTATATTGCGTGGATCAGCATCATTTCGTAAAGCATCACGGAGGTGAATGTAAGAGTTGCAACGCAACTTGGTCTGATTCAATCTGATGTAACAGAGTCTTTTGGATTCCATCTTAGCAGCCATGTCTACTATGAATTGATGGAAAAGTTGCCGGCTTCGATGAAGATGACTGAATGCACCCTCATGTACCATCAATAGGTAGGCGTAGAAAGCCCTGCAAGACACTTTTTAAGGTGGACCCATTTTGCAGAATGCCAAAGTGGTACCCATCTTCTCCGTAAGGGAAGAGAAGTGGGTATTGCAGTGCATCGTAGGACCGGTGCGTTTCACTGATTCTTCGGAGCCCACTGCCGCGCGATTCGATAACAGTGTCACGTCTGCTGTGCTGACCACCGCTGACAATGACGGAAACTTCGTTACTTGCGGGAGCATTGTAACGACATTCGTGCTCTCCCTGAGGCCGTTTGTCAGCATCAATTAAAATAATGAAATCAGAAGAAGTGTTATTTTCGAGAGCATACTTAAAACTGCGGGCATAGCTGTTTGTCTTGTGGAGCATTTGTTGGAGAGTCATTATGATATCCCTGCGAGGATGATTGTCCTGGCTTGTATCGTTCTAGGGAATAATGCCCATGCGGGCATCTGCCTGTTGATTGTAGTTAGCTATGAAGTATATTTGTAGAAAGGTCGAATCAGTGGCAGTTTCCGGCAATAGAGACCCAATCCGGTGGTAAACCTGACCTTGAACCTTAAAGGTGGGATTCCAACCAACTTCGTGGAAGGCATTACCACCAAAAGAGGTCATCTGGAAAGCACAATTGTACTGTCTGATTTTTGCGAGGAAATGTTTGGAGTCTGGGCTGGAACCCCACAACAGAGTTTTCAACGAATCTGTTAGCTCTTGAAAAGGTGGCAACCTTACCGTCTGAACAACACAAACCTGCAGACTCTCCAGGCCATTTTTTGGCATTGCAATGCCCACAGACAACTGACATGGATCCTATTTGGAGGTCTTTGCGGCCGGAAAGCCTCAAAACTGGCTCATAGTTTGGTGGGCTACAGAGCCCTCGCTGTGCATGGCGGCGCTGGTTAACAGTCTGCAATCTTTCAAGCCTTTCAGTAGATCCTTCTACAGCTCTAGCAGCGGAAGTTGAAATTGAATCGTGTTGCCGCCTTGTGCGCTTTAGCGCGGAACTTTCCGACGCCCTTGCAGCAAAACTTGCCATGGATTCCTGGGACCGTCGAATGGACGTTGCCGCAGCTTTCGCTGCGTTACGTGCGGTTTTCTCAGCCGTGGTCTCCTGGGACCGTCGAATGGAATGGAAGTTGCAGCGGCATCGGCTGCATTGCGAGTAGCTTTTCGATGCGGGCTCTGTCGAAACCGCAAAAGCGCTTGTGATGAAGCCGCTTTTTTGTTGTCTTGCAAGCGTTTAGGTAGTTTCCTCTTACTTTTCAACGAATATGTGTAAACTGATTTTCAGTACAAACGGTAGTTACGCTCACCAAGCGTTTCATGTGACAAAACATCCTGCCTCCGTTGAGATTGACTGGAAAGCCTCAAAGAGGCCTCTATCTCGGTTTCCTCCTCCCGCTTTCTCTTTGCCGCAGAGGCTCTTTTAGAACGCCTTCTAAGGTTGCCTCGCCATGGTATTTTGGAACGCTTAGCAAAACTGCCGGGTCGGTCATCGCCACGGCACTCAGAAGAGTGCAAAGCAGAGATTGAAGTAGACGCCAGCCGCTTCTCCCCCAAGGAGGTGCGCTCAATGGAATCCTGCTCCCGTTTCCCCTTAGCCGGTGAGGCTTTTTTAGAACGCCTGCTAAGGTTGCCTCGCCTGGGTGTTTTTGCAGCCTTTGCAGAGCTGCCGGGTTGGTCATCACCACGGCACGCGGAAGAGTGCAAAACAGAGGTTGAAGTAGACGCTATATGATCGTCTGTAACCGGAGTTATTATCTGATCCTCCACAGTCGCCTGTTCTGCATGGGTTAACGGTATTAGGGGTCTTCAGTTGCTGACGTGCGGATGTTCGTCGTGTAGGAGCCATTTGAATGGTTGTAGAAATGCTGTGTAAGAATGCGAATAGAAGTTGATGCCGAAGCTGAAGCGGTGCAACCTCGTTGTATACGAAAACTAAAAATGCAGTGGAGCCGTATGGAAAAAGCTTCTCCTAGCTATGGGCCGTGCTTTCTGGCAGCACGAAAACGTCGCTGTAGGAAGAGGTTACGCAACCAAAACGTTGAAGCGTTGAAGGTTAAAAAGTAGTGAAACACTGAGGTGTACTGGGCCGCGTAGTAAAGACAGAAGAGAAGTAACTTGCGACAGCAGTTAACTGTCTAATAGCAAAACAGAACTACGAAAAGGTAGAAATAGGTATGGAATGCTAAGATGGACTGGGCTGTGCAGTAAAGGCAGCACGCGGAGATAAAATGGGTAATGCAAACGTTTAAGCAGATAGGCAGTGAAGTACTGAGGCGTACTGGGCTGCGTAGTAAAGGCAGTACACTTCAACTTACAGTGAAAACTGTAACGTGGAGGTAAAATAGGTTGGGCAAACGATTGAGTAAATAAGTAACTCGCAACAGCAGTAAACTGTCTAATAGCAAAACTGAACTACGAAAAGGTAGAAATAGGTATGGAACGCTAAGATGGACTGGGCTGCGCAGTAAAGCCAGCACGCGGAGATAAAATGGCTAATGCAAACGTTTAAGCAAATAGGTAACTTGCGGTAGCAGGAAGCTGTCAATTAATCCAAGGACAGATGCGTTAATGGCGATCAAATCAAGGCGGTATTTAAAGGGAGCGTGACTTGTCATTGATTGGTGTAGCCTGGACAATGGCCATGACATCATGTCCTTACGGCAGCCATTTGCAAACTTGTGGTGAAAACCGCATCGAAATCGGGTTAGAAATGCAGCCTGGGCGAGGTAACAACGCCCACGACAGACACAGAGAGACAACATGAGAAATATAGATATTATTATATTAGATAGATAGATATATATATATATATATATATATATATATATATATATATATATATATATATATATATATATACTGAAGCTGTTTACATTTGAAGTAGTAGGGTAGTTTGTGCATTTCCGAAAATAAATAGACTGGATTTCAGATAGTATTGTGAGGGAACTATCTTTTTAGTGCCTTTTTGGTAATGTCCGCATTAAACTAAGCTCAGTAATTATGCAGCAATCTAACTATTAATAAATGTTGATATGTTGAATGAATCGCAACTAATGGACAAGCTCTTGTTTTTCTTCAAGGTCTTACGTTTTCATACCGTACAGACGCTACAATGGTAATGTTAAAACCTAATATACAACTAATAAATATATTTTCTTATTCACCTGTAGTACCGCTAAGTTTTCAATCAGCACCTGACGATTTCTTCGTGCATTAAACTCAAATTTGTGTTACCTGTGGGGGTACAAAATGTATAGTAAATTATTAGTAGTATAAATTTTAGCATCGAACGCTATTTTCTAACACCAATACTCAACGTGCATTACTATATATAATGTTTATAGATCTCTTTTCTCATTTTGATAATAGTAAAATATATAGTTGAAAACAGTAAATCCCAAATGTTTAAATACTCACATTCAAACCTGTTCATTAATATAATGATCCAAGAGTTGCCATACAAAGCAAGAGAAATAAGATTAAAGGCTCGTCAAAATTTAATAATTATTGACAATATTTCATTTAAGAAATTACATCTGATAATTTTATGTGCTGAATGTATCTTAATTATGAGATGGACACTGGTTAACTGATTCGTTGATTTTTACACTTCTCTTTTTTTATTCTGCTTCATTTCTTTTAACATAGCCTCTTTTTTTTACACTTCTTTTTTCTATTTTTCACTCTCCTTATATCTCTATCGCACTTTATGCTTGTTTTTTTTTTTAAACTCCCTTCTCTATATTTGTCTTTATTTCTTCTTGACATTCCTCTTTCTCGTCTGCATTTGCTTTCTTTCAACCTCTTCCTCTATTTTTTTTAACCTTTTCTTTTCCACACACCTATTTTTTCATGGTTTTTCTCATATAAGGAGAAAGAAATATGACAAACTGGAAAAAGATTTTTCTGTGACGCCTTTCGTCCTTTAGAACTTCATCGGACTACGTTTATGTTTACATTAATGTGTAATGAAATTTTTTTGTTTGATATTATTTATTATTATAGAGCTCCCTTTTCAGGGCCACCCTTCATTCCAATTGTTACCCCCCCCCCATTTGGGGATGTGTCTCAGTTGCACCCAAATGTTGTTACTAATATTGATTTTCGAGTGGGCTGACTTTAAGTTTAAACTCAGCCCACTACTTCAATTGAACGGCAAAAAGTCCCAGTAACAAAAGACCCAGTCAAAGACGGGTTATTCTGCTAGTATTATTATTATTATTATTATTATTATTATTATTATTATCAAAGAGAAAATTGTACTTAGAAGACATGATATTATCTGTATGCCATTATTACTTTAAATATATTTTCCTCCAGACATATCCGGAGGTTATTGATAGAAACTTAATGACAAGTTTCTCCAAATTTATTAAACGTCTCAATATCCCGATATTGTTAGGTTAACTTCTTAAATGCTTGATAAAGCGACTCATTTCCATGTTTGGCCATTCATTTCTCGCTCTGATTTACTAGGAGTGCCATAATTTGTCAGATCTTTTTTTTTTTTTTACAGCAACCAAGTTTTATATATCATCATTATTGCTTACTCATAAAACTATGAACATTAGTTCTTACACTGAGATTGTGTAACTGCAAACAGCTTCATTACTCCAGCATTCTCGTGTATATGGTCCCGATATATTCACTTAGGTACTTCGAGACAGTTTCTGATTCTCCGATAACAACTGAACAAAGGTCATTTAATCAAATTCTGGGAGGTTGGATGAGCCGAAAACTTTTCAGCAGCACGTCCTTGTTTATATTTACTGTCCTGATATGTTTTATCTGCGGATTTAATTTTAAGGTTTCCTTTATGTGCATGATTGATCAGCCATTTCTTGCATTTGTCTTCTGAATCTGGCGTCTTTTCCACCGCCGTAAAGTTACTTCCTTGCACGCTTTCTATAAATACTTTCATGGTAAGTTTGGATAAGATCTTCGCTATTTATGAATTTAAGCGCAGTACTAAAATGACGAGGTCTAATCAATTTACAAGCTTTCCATCCAACTTTAATCTTCAAAAATGTAAATTCAACGTCAATCGTTATCTACGGTCTTCCTGATTACGCTTCTTTTGTTCTCGCTCCTTAGTATTTTTTCCGTTTTTTTAATTTTTCCACACCCAGTAATCCCTTATGTCTAAGTGGCTTTACTGCCTTGCTTGGGTTGAACTCGATTCAGATAATTGAACTAACCAAATAATTTGAAATTTTTCTTCAGTGTCCACTTTCTTATAGCAAATATCACGCGTTTGCTCTTGTAAATCTAAAGGGAGTTTCATGAATGTCATGAAGATATTCAGTAAGCACTTCTCGAACTGTTTTCAATGATTTTTCCTAAAACACTCAAATTGCATCTTAGTTTTCTAATTTCGGTAATTAGGGGAATTTTGGTCCCTGCTTGGGAAAACAGTGAGAAAATACCAGCAAGAAATTCGAAAACTGAAATTTCTCTGATGTCAAAAAGTTCCTCTTGTGAATGCTAACAATAGATTGGCTGAAAACAGGGCCTCATCAAAGTTGAATGAATTGGAAAATAATACATTGTAAAAGTTGTAATAAAATATGAAAATTTAAGAACGAAAAATAATGGAAATAAAATATGTAAAATAGGAATAAAGAAAAAATGAACTTCCATGTGCGATTAGAATTTTTAGGATAAATATGAGAATATGGAAGAGGAGAATCGGATGATGTTTATATGGAATACAGGGTAGGAATGTATGGATGTTAAGTAAGAGTAGATTGGGGTGGGGAATGGTGATGAAAATTGAAAGAAGCCTATCAGAAAAACTCAAGAATCTATAGCTAAACATTATCAATAATAAACCTTAGCAAATAAGACGCCAATAATTCTGTTGTACTTTAAGAAGAAAAAGTAAATACACGTCAGTTTCATTAGTTAAACGAATTGAAAATCTAGGCATGGACACGGTGTTTTGGCTTGAGAACAACCATAAAATATTGCTACTTTTTAATGTTCCGCCGCAAGCCAATACATCCAAAGTGTAATGATCCAGATTGGCTGGCATAATATATTTTCAGCGAATGAACAAGTTCCCCTTTACTCTATGATATTCACTTAATTAGATGAGAGCGAATAAAAACAGCCACTGATCGTTGTCGGAGCTTCAGACAATAATTGAAAAATAAAAATAATTTTGCTTCGCCTCTTGAAAACGTTTTGAGTGTATTATTGGTTGATTTGTGCTTGTTCCGTTATTTAAATTTACTTCTAATATATGGAAATTTACAAGAAATGTTTGAATAACAAGAAACTATTGATCGAGAGCCAGTTTTTCATTGAAATACAACTAAAAACCATAAAGTATTTAATTTTAGCATTTTAGCGCTATTTGTTGACCTGATTACGTCTAATCTATTTTTTCGGCTTGCTACTGAAGACTATTCACCATCTGATGAAACTTTACAAACATTGTTTGATTAGAATTAAAATAATAATAATAATAATAATAATAATAATAATAATAATAATGAAAAATTTGTGAAGCCAACGAGGAAATAAATTACTTAGTCAACATTTTGGTTGTCCTTAACGAGCATCAAAACAGAGGAGTTAAAAATATACTGCTCGGATAGTTGTAATACAATAATGACATTGTAGTTTTTGGTTTATAATTTTACTTCATACCAGCACATGAAAGCTAGCTATCATTTATTTAAGCGTGCAAATTTTGGCTTTTCTTGGAACATCAAGACGATTTAATTCTACAACGTCATCGCCAGTAGTTTTAGCAGTTTCAAGAGTGCTGTTATATGAACAGTTGAAATCTCTGTTGGATTTATAGTAGTTTCCAAACTCTTCGTAATTCTTTTGCATTGTTACCAGTGCTCCAGTGATTAAGTTCTGATCCTTCTCGTACCATTTGATAATAAGATTCTAACCAAATGGTTTGCTCAGTTCCAATTTTTATTATTATTATTATTATTATTATTATTATTATTATTATTGTTGTTGTTGTTGTTGTTGTTGTTGTTTTTGTTGTTTTATTTCATGTGAGTACTCATTTCTTTCCGGGTTTCGACCAGATCAGAAATGGCCCCATGACATTTTCCACTAAGCAATTAAAAAACAAAACAAAAACATATTTACATAGATAAAGGCCTTCGTAAGGTGTGTGTTGTACTCGTGAGAACAATTTTTTTGTAGTTATTTATTATTATTATTATTATTATTATTATTGTTGTTGCTTTTTATATGAATTTAATCATTTTTGATTAAATTTTTCTTCAAAACATTAAATTTCTCAAATATTCTTGTAGGTTATAATATTTTGCCTAAATAATTACAATTCTTCCTCAGGTTTTTAGCTCCTACAATCTTTTTGCAAGAGCTTTCGAGTTTGCGCACAAAATGACAAGTACAATAGTTCATTTTCTACATTTTGAGTTCACTAACAAAGTCTAGATTTGCATACTCATTCGATTTTTCGCTGACATTTTTTTAAATCACTACTTAGGATGACGAAACCTGTTCTAATTTTTCTAATTTTCCAACATTTAAAATTCTATTTTTCAACTCATCTTGTTTTGCAACAAATGAAATTCATTTGAATAATCGAATAAGTTTTGTCGACACAATTCGTATAGTTTTGCTCTCCAAATATAAGAGTCGTTGAGATTTTTTTAATTGAACAAATCTTCACCAAATTGACAATAAATTTCTTTTATTGCACAATCAGTGAGTGAGGATGTCCTCTAAAGTGCATTAATGACAGGAAATAAAGGATGGAAAATAAGTCGCATAGATAGATAGATAGATAGATAGATAGATAGATAGATAGATAGATAGATAAAGAGAGAGATAAAGATAGAGATAGATATAAAAATAGAGAGAGCAACAGATATATAGAAAGAGGGGTAATAATGCTACAATACATTCATACATGCATGCACTTATGTCCACAAATGCTTTTGGAAATTAAATAAATCCACCATCTTCCAACTAAAGGATAATGAGCAGGGTAGACTGGGCTCTCTAGACTTGCGTGTCAGCCAAACAAGTCTACTCTGAATTCAAAACCGTAAACCGGAAGCGGGAAACAAATCCACTATTTTTCCCAAGAAGTCAAGGAAAGGAATTTCCAGACACCTATGATCACTACGTCCTAAAAAGGGACAAAACAAAGATTACTTATACATAAGCGTAGACACATAACTGCATATAAGCATATTCATCTATGCACATAAAATATGTACAACTTTTATAAAGACAGGCATATATGCACAAGCTTAAAATGAAAGATATGCACACATAATATTCGTGCATGTTCAGATGAATTTACATAATTTGAACACACACACATATATATATATATAATTAAAGAATGTCAAACACTTAAAATCCTTAAGATTTTAAGTGTTTGATATTCTTTAATTAATAATAGTTTTTCTCTGTCTTTTGGTATACAACTCTCCCTGGATCTATATCCTCCTGGAAATTGCATACGGATTACCATATTATATCATTTATATATATATATATATATATATATATATATATATATATATATATATGTGTGTGTGTGTGTGTGTGTGTGTGTGTGTGTGCACGTATATTTAAACACATATAAAAATATATACACATATATATGTGCACGCATAGGCAGTAATAATTTCCAATAATTTCACCACGTATTTCATATTTAACTTTGTGATATATGTATGTAATCATTTTCATCGTGTAAGCTTCATGCTTTGAGTTTAAACTGTAGAAACCAAGGAACGTCCTGATCATCTTTAATGTAGTCGTGCGATGATGCCTGGGTAATTTAACCCAAAAGGAGAGAATTTTAAAAAGAAAATTACGTTGGAATTTTTTCTAAATACAAACTAATATTTCGTTAGAATAAATTTAGACATAAAGTAATGACTCGGTCGATAACCTTAAGAGCTCTCCGGGAGACATACTCTGTTATAAGTTATAAGGATTAAGCTAAGGTCGAATTCCCAAGAATATCCTTAATCTACATTTGTTATAATCCATACAACTTTGGGGAAAGTTTAAAGATATTTTAAGTGTTTTCATATTTTATGGAGAGTTTTGTTGAATTAAGTCCTCCTGTAGATAGCAAGCATCTGCTATTTACATGATATCTCATATCCATTCATATATGGATATCTACAGGATATCGGATTATAGATATTTGATAGCTTTTAGACAAAATGAGATGTAACGTAGCTTTATTCAACATTATATGACCACGAGACGCAATATTGTGTTTTCTTTAACAAAGTATTTCAATCTTGGGCAAATTTCCAAGAATTTAAAAGTTGAAGAAAAATTAAAACAAAAAACAACCTCTGCTTCAAAAAAAAAAAAAAAGAAAAAAAGCCGACTAATTAAATCAATCGATCTTCGAACAAGGCTTTTAATTTCTTGATGGAATATATTATGGAGAAAAGAAATAAGTCCCCAACCCACATTTTGTCCAGGTTTTGCACCTTTTTTATTTATTGTGGCTATAATGATTTCTGCAGAATTTTAATTAATTAATTTTTATTTTTAAAAAAATTAACGCTTTTTTTTTAAGTTGTTTATGTGCGAACGGATTTAGTCAAAAGGGAGGGACTAAATAAAATTGCTATTGTGTTGGGTGGGAAAAGGAAAATATCATAAAAAGCAAAGGCGGGAAACGTGTTGAGGAAACAGAATGACTCAAAAGAAAATTAAACAGGAACAAGAAAAAATTAAATGGGTTTTAATGAAAAGCCTTGGGAAGAAATACATAAATAATAATAATAAAAAAGAAATTTTAATCGAAACGAAGACACGAAAACTGGAGAGAGCGATAGAGTTAAGAAAGAAATAAAAAGAAAGAACAATGAAGCGGTAAAAGGAGAGTAAGTAAAGAGAGAAGACTTGACGTCTATTACGCGTCTGTATAAAACTGTATAAAAACTGTTGTTTGATGCGCTGCATTTTATTGGGATTTCACTCAATCAAATCATTTTCAGCCAAGTATCTTTTTCTTCATTTGTATGTATTTATGTATAGATAGATATAAACAGTTATAGAAAAAAACAAAGAGGAGAAGGATAGAAAGATAGACTTGTAAGAGTCCTAAAATATATAGAATGAAAAAATTAAAAATATTAGAGCAATATACAACGAGGTAGGCAGAAGAGATTGTAAAATACTTACACAAAATATTTGATATTAGGAGACATTTTTAAATTCTACAACAGATATATAGGCCGTCCTTTTATAATCTAAAAACACTTTGAAATGAATCAGTATCGTTTATTACAACATAATATTCGTTTTCCAATTCCCAAGTATCCCAAATATATGCAATAAAAATTTCTATATATGATAATTCTTTTAAAACCTTACATGTATGCTTCACTAATTGAATTGGCTTCACGATAAACTGTACTTGAAAACGCCCTGGAAGACCAAGCATTTTGCAACATTTCTTTCAAACCGTCCGCAACGTCATTAGAGGCCTTTCTACAATTATTGAATTAAATCTGAAATCTCTTGAATCTACTAATCATTTTATCCTCTCATTCACTATAGATCAGTATAAAATTCATAAACATCATTATAAAATTATAAATTTCCTTCTCCTGAAACGTGGCAAAGTTAGATGTTTGACATGAATGAAACTGATGAATATTGTCTTCTCAACTTTTAGAAAATGAACTGTCTATATATTTTCTCATGAAAAATTGGTTTTAAAAACTATATTTTTAAGATGCAGACAGTTTTTCAAGATTTATCCCAATGAAAATATTACACATTTTCTTGAAAAATTATAGTTTCCCCCTGTATCAAAAATATTCATGTTTATATTGTTTGTCTTTTCCTAGTGAAAAGTTTATCAGAATAGCTCTCAAAAAAGGAAAAAAAGAAAAGAAAAAGGGCATTGAGAAATAATTGTAAAAAGAAAGTAAAAAATAAACGAGTAGACGAACGAATAAAGTGCAACATAAATATGATCAATATTTGAAGCGAGGGCAATGGAATAAAAAAAAAAGGGAAAACTGATTATTCAAATGAGAAATCAAAGGATAAAAGACAAGATCTCTCTTCCTATTTCCCCTCTTCAAAGCTGAACACTTTATTAGCATATTTTAATTAAACAGAGGAGAACAGTTTCTAAAGGCGGGAAAATAAGAAACAAACTAAAAAAAGGACGCTCTCAGTTATGGATCGTGAATATGAAACATGAGGTTTCAAAGCAATAAGCAATGCACTGACGTTAATATGGTGTGTGTAAATGAGCAAAGATAGCCTAATAAAAAGTCACGTGATCTGTACGTTAAAAGTCGATATTAGGAGCAGGAAGCAGAAAATTCATACTCCTAAAACAGAAGCTCGAGAAAATTAGAACCAAGGTTACAAGTTTTCAACAAGCAATGCAGAATATTATTTGAAATTCTGAAATGATGTATTTTCATTATATGACCATCACTATGAAATATTTAGATGTCCGTATTTTCCTTTTTACCCACATATATGTGAGCAGTATTTTTCAATCTTATAAAATATTTAAACCAGCTATGGATTGAGTAACATTTCTTAGTTGTGTGTGACAGCCAGTCTCGGAGAAGGAGAACTCTAAATTCAAGTGTGGAGAGCCCATCGGGAAACTACTCCATTATCTTTTCAAAGAAGTCATGGCCATTTACAGATAAATAAAAGGAATCTGTGGAGAGCCATGATGGCTTACGTCCTGAAGAGAGATGGTATTTAAAATATGAGTCCGAATCAATGGTGAAAAAGAGGAAACATTACGAATGATACACGATACTCAAATAGAAATAAATGCAAGATTACATAACGCTGCACAATACAAATATTATTTTTTTCATATAATACAAAAAGACAGTATAATACTAAAATGTCATATTTTTCAGTCAGACTGAACAGTTATACTCAAAAATCAAAGTATCCCAACTTTAGAATTATTAACAGCCTTAATTTCACTTTTCTCTAATTATGTATGTCCACTTGAGTTGTAAAACTGAGCCTAATGTATACATAATTTGCTTTTTAATAATTCCTATGTATTACTGTTCAAACGTAATTCTAGTAATTTTAAAGGGAAAATTTCACTTGAAAAGTAACATACTTAAATGAAAAGGGTATATAAATTTTGCTGGGGTTTAAAAAAACATTATAAGTATGTTTATTCATTATTTTTAGAATACATTTTTATCCCTATACTTTTTTTAGAATACATTTTTATCCCTATACTTTTCGCAAATGCTGCGGTGGATGGTAACTATTACGGGCTGTAATGTTCCTATAAGGGTAGTATGCTCGATCCTAATATTTATTTCTTTTCTAATATAATATAACGCCAATTTCACAAGATTCGTTGAGAAATTATATGCTATTGAAACTCACAATTTGGAATTAAGTCTTAAATGTAAGCATTAAGAAAAACGTGCAGACGAACTCATTAGTTGCAACCATTGGGCTTTTTTTTTTCTTTTTAAGTACTATCATTATTCATTTTGGTCAAATACTTTTCATCTTTATTTCACTTACTCCTATTGTTATTTCCATACAACAACACAGACCGTTGTTCTACGGCAATTAATAAATAGCCTGGATAAAAATTAAAAACTCAACGAGACCACTCGCCTCTGTTTTTCTCTAGAAAACACTACGTCATTGTTATAACTTCCATAACCAATTGAAAGATTTATAATTAGCAGAAAATTGAGTCGAGACTCATAAATACGTCTCTTATTTTTACTCCGATCGCTCGGCGCCGCTATACCTGATATTGTTTACACTAGTAGTATTAGTACTAAAAATATTGAAATTTCGTTCGATTAATCTTGTACAAATGGTTGAAAATGTTTCACATTATCATATTTCATCATCTTGTATTTGTAATTATTATAGTTATTTCCTGTCTTCTTGTAATTTTATGCATAGAAGAAATATTATTACCTTATTAATTATTATTCCTCATTAATATTTCCTAAAGTTAGCTGAGTATGATAATGCTAAATGAAATAGCAGCACAAGGAAGATCGTGTTCTTCCAGTTATAAATCATCATCATCATTATTATTATTATTATTATTATTATTATTATTATTATTATTTGCTTCCGGTGTTAATTTCCCTCTCATGACTAAACATTGATTTCCTTTGCTGACTTTAAGACAATTGCAAAGAAAATATCCCATCTCGCCTAACTCAACTCAGAAATTAATAGCAGAAAGATATGCATTTCATTTCGTGATGAAGCAATGTTTTTTTCCTTGTTTATTACAAATTCTGTCTGACCGATAACAGTCTGGGACATTTCGAAGATGTCAATAACAGCGCTCAAGATAAGAAAAAAAAAGGCAAAAAGCAATTAGTGGCATCAGAGAAGATGCTAAATATCTAAAGCTAAAATGAGGCTGGCAAAGACATCTTAAACTCCTTTTGACAGAATAATTACTTTCGTAATGCATGAATCTTTTGATAAGTTCCGAAAGTAATGAAAGGAGAAAATCTGTTCGAACTCATTACACATTGAATGATCTGCTTATATTTTTGTTAAATATTTCAAAGCAAATTAAATACTAATTACTAATCAATACAAAATACTTTTATTTTAGAGGAATTACAGCAATTATTTCATATATTGTAATGACAGACAGGAAGAAATTATTTCATTTATTAATTTACATATTCAGTACTTGTTTTTATCAACATTGTATTAAAATTAAACATAGGCATTCGGTGATATAATTTTCTTCCACTTCTGCACTTGCATAAGTGAAATTAAACTAATCTTGAAGACTGGAGTATGGAATGTTTTACAGGATTTAAGATAAATTGCAAAATTTAAGTTCTAGACTTTTGGGGAATTCGGCTTTTACACGAGTATATACGCCAGTTAATAAAATACATAGATTCCAAAAAATTCCTGAAAGTCTATATTCCATGTGAAAAATATGTGAGTTCTATAATTACTTTAATATAGTTCTGTATGGAATACGAAATGGACAGTGAAATAGCCTTCCTGAATACACTAATAATCTGCAGAGAACATTGATTCAGAACATCCATACACTACAGAAAAATAAAATTTGATGAACAGCGGTAATAAGACGCGGTAATACTTTAAAATGTAGTATGACTGACTATTCATTATATTCATTAAGTGAGACTCATCAGCTTTTAAGAAATTATGTAAAAAAAAAATTAAACGAGGAGAAAAATTAGTGAATAAGAAGTTTGAAGGTGACTTATCACCTACTAGGCTCATTATAATTCATTAATCAAACCACTCATAGACGTTAATAAATTATAATAATCATCAGTGAGGAACCAATGATGAACTTTGCATTCCATAATTTCAATCTACCTACATACAGAGAGGGAGAAAAAGAAAGAGATTTGGTAAACTAAAGACTTTGTTTATCTGTAATTTTACATAATAGCAGGAACTGCTGTTTTTTTACGATTGAGCTATTTTTCATAAAAGCTTTTTCAGTGGACCAACAATTTAGTTCTCTGTTACCCAGTGTATTATATCTTATATGACTATCACTAAAAGTTAATAGTAGCCTTTCTCTGTTATGAAATTTTAACGTATGGAAAAGTTAAAGCATTTTTGCAAAGTAATACTGTTTTAGTAAGTTTATATCCTTAAAAAGCAATTAGCAAAATAAATGATGGTTAAACTGTTTAACCATCATTTATTTTGCTTGTCTCTTAATTTATAACTTTAAATTATGAATAAAGAAGAATCAAGTGATGGCAAACAAGTTTTTCGAATGGTAATCCAGTTCGATGTTTCAAACAATATCCAAAACAGAAGTAGTTACGAATGAGTAATTAGGCCATAAAAATAATTCGGTTTTAAATAAGAACGTTTTTTCGACATCAATTTTATTAGAGACATTTTCAACGATTTTTTGCGCTTTTTTATCATCTTTCATCCTTTCATAACTTTTTATATCGATCAGGAAAAAACAGTCTAAGTGCCTTTTTCCAAGAAAATTTATTTTCATTAATAGAATTCTGTAACAACAACAATAAATGGTAATTAATACGGCAGATGAGTGAAAAAAAAGGCTCAAGTGTTATATTGATAAAATATTACAGCCCCCCATCTTTTTATTAAGTAATTTCAGCAGTTTTACGCAGATTGCTACCTTCAATGAACCTAATGTAAGTACCTCCACTATTTCGGCATAAATTTTCTATATTGAAGTTTAAAATGAATTTTTTACAACGAAAAAACATTCTTGAAGATTTCATTTTAACTTTAATTGAAAGTTTAATAATTAAATTTACGATTTCTATTAATTAAACAATTCTGGTGTATTTCAGATAGAAACTATATACATTTGATTGTCAAATTTAATTTCAAAATTTTTAATTTTCTTAAAAACGGCCATTTTCTTAATTTTAAGAAATTTGTAAACAAACACAAATTTATCGATTTTTAAAATATTTAAAAAAATTCTGACACGTTATTTTAGTAAAATTAAAAAATTTAAAGTTAAAGTAATCTGATTTCAAAGAAATCTTTGTTACTTATAGCATAAAAAAATAGTATACAACCAATTATTAACGAGCGGTCCTGTTCATCTGTTCGATCTATTGATGATGGTTGATTGACGAGCCGATGACAGCTACTACTGATGACCATAAATGACATAATTTTTAAGTCTGAGTTTTTAAAAAAATTATTCTATTTGAGTATGACACACACTAATGGAAATACAATACATAAAATAAAAGTATTTAGTGAAATAGTAAATGAAAAAAAGAAAAAATAATTTAAAATTTAAAGTTTACACTTTTAAAGCTGAACGGAAAATAAAATCTGTAAGAAACGAAATGTTTTGAAAAGGCCACGTAAAGGGACAAAACCCTTAGACCTTGTTATAATAATGGTAATTTCTGTATATCATACATGGAAATAAGGAATGTATTAAGTAAAAAAATGCAACATAAAAAATTATTTTTAAAAAAAGTAGCGCAACTAAATTTATTAATCTTAGCAATTTTAGATTCGTAAATTTTTTTTCTACTTAATTACTACATAATATCGAGGAACCCTCCTAATACAGAGCTTTACACGATTTAAAACTATTATAAATTATTATAATTAAAATTTCTTAAAAAACGAAAAAATTCTTATAAAAATTAATTATTCATCAGAAAAAAATTATTTCTTCAGACAATAATGTCCTTAATATTACTTATTTACAAAAGCAATTAAAAGCTTTTCTAATTAAGTAATATCATAGTTTTATTGGATTCATTATTTTCAATTCAGAGCAGATTTTCAGTTAAATAGCTCAAATTTGAAAAAAAAAAGTAGGTTATTTACCATCTTCGAAGACTCCTACTTTTAACCAAAAAAAAAATTCAGGAACCAAAAAGGTTTTGGGCGAAATTTCATTAAATTAAGTAAATGTGAGGTAACATATTTTAAAAAAATATAATTTTTACCAAAATTTTCTAAAAAAATATTTCAAAAATAATTTCATTGATTTGTGAATAAGTCCTGAAAATTTCATTAAGATCGGACAATTATTTTATTTTTACAAGAATTTCCAAATCAATATGTTTTCAACGGTAAAAAAACGCAAAAAAAACAATGTTATTTTAAACGTCGCCGCGATGACGTAAACAAAGACGACTTTAACCAAAATTTCGAACGTGTTAGAAAATATTAAAAAATTTCAAAAAATAATTAAAAAATACTTTTTTCTTTCATCTAAATAATAACAAGCATTTTGACAATAATACTTTATTTTCTTTAAGTTTGTGGCATTTTTCATTTACGCTATGCTGTTTTTCCGCGAAAACAGTGGACATGCTTAACCTAATGGAATACTTGTTGGAATCAATAGTTTAATTCATTTCACTAGCACCACACTAGCATTGTATACTGTCATAAAGTAATCATTTTTCAGTGGTCGTCACATTAAGTTTCATAAAAGAAACACTTTTATTACATTTAACTAGTGAATTGCACTTAGAAATGCAACCAGGGAGTGTTTTTGTTTAACTTATATTGAAATAACACATCAAATCGATTAACAAAACCAATCTACTGGAAATTAAGTTCAATGTATGATTTGGGTATTTTACATAAATTAATATTTCCCGCATAATATAGCGTTGATAAGTGTCAAGTAATACCCTGGGTTGATCGCTTTCATTCTCAACCGATCGATCTGACCCCATGGAATATAATGAAACTTCAACAACTTTGGACGCGTCTCCGATCAGCCTAAACGCCCTTTCTCTAAACAATTTTGCATTTTACTTGTATCTAAATCTAAGATAAAAATTGCATAATTTGATGAAAATCTTGAATATTTTCTTCTATTTTCAGTATTAGAAGCGACAAACAAATATACGCCGATGTTGATTTTCCTTTTAAATTCACGCCAGTACAGAACACGACGCGATTATTTTGAATAAATTTAGTTAAAATTAAACTCCTAATGATAAAGACTGATGGCGAAACCCGTCGGCAAGGACTTTGTTTTCTGATTGTCTATTTTATTCAATTTGCCTTCTCTACAGATATATTACGCATATAACTTTGAGAACTTACGCATATATATATATATATATATATATATATATATAGAGAGAGAGAGAGAGAGAGAGAGACACACACATATATATATGCATATATATATATAGTTAGAGAGAGAAAGTGAAAGAGAGAGCGAGAGAGAGTGAAAGACAGAGAGCGAGGGAGAGATGATTTTTAAACTGACATTACTTTTTAAATATCTGTAAAGCGTTACTTTAAAATTATTTTATGTTTGTAAGGTAGAAAAACAAAGGAAGCATATATAGTCTTCCAAAGTCTCCAACGAAAGTTGTGCAGTTCTTTAAAACAATAATTTAGCTTTGTGTTCCTGTGCCTTCGTGACTGAGACGGTCAAGCACGCTTGGCTACAAGATAGTTTCCCCTAAAGTAAAAAGAACCTACATAAATTTTTCTTTAATAAAGCATAAACACTTGATATTACATCTACTAGATTAACTCTGGTCCATTTACCAATGTAATATTAAGGTCACCAGTTTGCGCAAATATCTGAAAAGAAGTGCTGGAGAAGAAAAGGTTAAGAAACACTGGTTTAAGTAATTTAAATAATGCTTATCCTAATTATGAGTAGTTAGAGTAGGATATTAAATTATTCGCTCCTGCCTTTTAATTAACATCACTTATGACTTGCAAAGCACAAATTGCATCTAATGCCCTTAATACGGCTCGGTACTTCGAACCTATCATTCAACGGTAGACATATCCGATTCTTTAATTTTCCAATCGCAAGTAGACAACATCATGGCATTTTTACATATTTCATTGCTTATACTCAATATACGATTGTCGTATCGCTTTCTCCATTCTCCTTTTGCAGCCCCATTATAAAACTTTGCCGTTATCTCTACGGATTATGACTGTATACACCTCATGCTTTATTAAACATTAACCCTGTAGTAGGCAATCTTCCTTAATTCAGCAGTTACACATCTTAGCATTAGTGACCGTATTGCGTTTGTTTTCAAGTACTTTTCTAGCAAGTTTTATTTAATGGGAGATTTCCTGTAGCCGAAACAAAATATGTAACACCAATCTATTAAGATAAGAAAGCATGAGAGCCAAGCCCGTTGTAGCACAACGGTATCGATTGTTATTATTATGTAAACTTTGTTTTTACCACTCTTTTTGCCATTTGCAACTTTAGTGTCATTTGTCTACATCGTTTTATTTTTTTCTCCGTGTGTATAACTGCCATGAAATAATTTAAGTTAATTTTCTACTTAAATCAAATTGTTTTTTTTTTACCAACACAATAATATTATCTTTTTTCGAACTGTTTCCAGAACTCTAGTGATCATGAGCATGATCGTCATACTCCACAATTTTCACAGTCCCAAGGTGTTAATGTATATTTTTCTAGTTATATTTTCACTTCATCTTGTAACCAGAAAAACATGAAAAGGTTCATAGTCACTATTATTATTATTATTATTAGCACTGGTAGTATTTCTAAAAAACTGTCAATGAATAAAAGTGTAATATCATATTCTAACTATTCATAAATTATGATAAGCATTATTTAAATTGTTCCAGCCAATGGTTCTTTTCCAGCACTCCTTTTCAGATATTTACACAGGATGACACCTTTAAAATTATATTGATAAATGGATCAGGGTTAATCTAATAGAGATAATATCACGTGTTTACGCTTTGTTGTCTTATAGCCGTAATAATTACCGGGAGCAAGCTGTAGGATGAACAATTAAACGGTGGTCCCCTTGAGAAACGATAGAAAGAACCGAAGATTAGCTTGCAGAATTTGGCT